CTTTAATCCCCATATATTATGGTATCATATGCTATAGTAGATAGGAAAACTGAATATAAAGCATGTATGCAGTAAGTAAATTGAAGACGTTCATATACATACATGTGTGTACGTATCTATATGGTCCTACTTGCTGGCAACATAACTTCATGAACATGTTAAAGCAAAATGAAGTAAGTATAGGCACTTGTATTTAATAGGTATGCTTCTGAAGAAACACAAGTCAAAAGCAGTGCTCATCAATTGGGAATGATTCTTAGCCTCTGTTAGCCAGGTCCTACCTGGTTTTCATGAAAAATGAAACGGACTACCAGACATTAATACTGAAGTAACAGTGTTGGGCTCTGATCCAAATTCCATTTAAGTTAATAAGAGACTTTCCATTAAATCCAGTAGTCTAAGGATCAGGCCCTTAGAGTACTGCCATGTTAAAACATGTCCTCGCTTTATTTTCAATCACACAGCTGCTGTTACTGTTTCAACAGAAGTGGGGTTAGAAGATCCAATGATAGCCAGGAGGCAGCCACAAGTTAGAAAGGGAATCCAAATCCATGTGTAGATTTCAACAGCTGTTTGGTTACCCACATCTACAGGTGAGGGTTTCAAGTGCAACTGTAGACTTTTCAAAGTGGAAGCAAAACGATATCCCAAAGGAAGCCTTGGAGATGCCAAGCTGGCATCACTAGCCTGTTGCTGTTTTCTCTGACACTGCTTAGATTGAGCAGGGTGTCTGTACCAAAAATCATTTCTCAACTATAGGAGTGGGTTGGATGTTTTGGGGTGAGGGAAATTCCAGTGCCACTTTCCTCCGAAGAGCTGACAACTCCCCTGTGCCTGAATTAAGTCTGTGATAAGAAGGACTATTAGTCCCAGGGCAGTTCTCCTTAGGAAAGAATAGCACAAGTGGATGAGCAATGCTTAACCCCTTAACCTAATGTAATTCTTCAATTTGGCAATTATGGATAAGGAGTCTTGGCACACAACAGGGAAGTAGAAGGTGGGTGGTAAAGTTTGCTTTGCTCTAGAACTAGAAGGAAAGACATGAGTTTGGTGAAAACGGCAGGGGAAGAACTTGTTTCAGCACTTCCCCAACTGTCTGCAAAATTATCAACTCTCAACACTTTCTCTGAAGAACATCATTCATCTGTATCATCACACATTTCCTTGAAAGTATAATCAGCTAGAACAATTTTGTGGACTGGGTCATGCACCAGTACTTTTAATTAATATAATTATATTAATGATCATAAGAGTTACAGTAGTGTTTATTTTGTTTCCTTCCTTTCCCTAGTACTCTTCTACTTTCATTCTCTTTCTATTGGGATCTCAGAATGTTCTTCCCTCTTTTTCTTCGTTTTTCAGTAAAACAACAGATTCTCATGAAAAAAAAAAAAAGGTCAGTTTGTGTTATGCCTAAACAGCAGTCATACTTTTTCTGCAGCATTCCATTGCCTTGGCCTAATCTGCTTTGTCTTCACCTTCTGATTATATTTTTTAATTTAGGCAACAGTATTAGATGATGATGTGAGCTGGAGAGGCGGGTCCATAAGAAACCCTATGCCTAGCCTATGAAGAACTTGAAAGATTTAGAGTAAGGCTTTGACCTGAACTCCAGAATAAGTAGCAGCCACTCAACAAGCATAAAGGACTGTCAAGAAAAGCGAGTTTGTGGTCCTAGTGTATATTCACTAATGTATGTGTACAATACCACTTCCTACCGTTAACTAAATATAATATTCTGTCACCCTCTAGTGGTGGGTCTACACCACCATACTTCTGATAGTAGTGATAAAAGATTTTCTCACTGTATCTCTAGTAGAAGAACTTGTCACATGTAGGAGAAACTAGGCTTCAATGTTTGATGTCCCTTGCGTACAGATTTGTAATTTTGGTCTCCACTGCATATTTCTGTAAATGATTTGTGTCTTGTAACTTCATGCCAAAAATTAGAGATGTAAATTTTCTGTGTTGGGTTTGGGCAGAGTAATTCATTAAGAAGGGATTTTCTTTAATTATTTCTTTGTTCTTCTCTTCTCCTTGGATAACACAAGAGAAAATTGACTGAATTCTAACCTGCAAAGTTAGGGAACATGACTGTGTGCACTTGAAGCCCATATTGGCTAATCGAATCCCTTCCTTCTTAATTCCTAGTTTTACCCATAATAAAAGTCCTTGTCTAAGGCTGTCTGATGCTGTACTGGACAAGTGCAATGCCCATTCAAATCTGTGAAAGCAGTAATGGTGCCTGAAATAATAGCATGACCTATGCATTATATGCAGCTCTTGGTATATTTGACAATAAAGCGACATAACAAAGCCAAAATACTTGACATCACCTATTTCATTAGCTTCAGCAATACTTACAAAATCTGTGTTTCTGACCCAGCCTTAGAAAAAGCTGAAAGTGCAGTATGCTAGAGAATAGTATTTAATGGGTTCATTTATCAAGATTCCCAGTAACTGATAATATTGATGTGTTTTACACTGATATTGGACAATGTGGCTTCAGATCACATATGATTTAAAGCTTCCTAAGTAACAGCGAGGTACTTGGTCTGAAACTGAAGTGTTGTGCTTTTCACTGAATCAGGAGGTAGTGAAACATACAGAAAGCTGATGGATAGCTTGAGACAGCTGGGACAGTCCCTTTTTTTCCCTTTGCAG